GCACAAGCATCTCCAGTTCCCCTTGTTTATTGCCCATGTTGCGTGCGCTTACATAGAGGCATTTGAGTTGGGCACCAACGTGCCTCTCTTGCTAGCTGGAGCATCTGGAACTTGACCACGTGGGCTTTCCGAAGTTCTGTTTTCCCATCTCACCTCTTCAGGCTTAGGGCACCCTCCACAGGCTATGGAGTTAGGCAGCTGTGAGCGGCATGGCAGGCCATTGCCTACCCCGTAAGCTGCTTCCCTGATACCCGCCTCGAATCTAGTTCAAAGCCCTCTCGATGAGCCCTGTCCCAGGGCTCTCTTCCCCCTTTGAGAAAGATGGATCCCATTAGATGCCATCATGCCCGCCGCTGTGTAAGGCTTCCTGTTACCGAAGAAACCAAAGTTGTGGTGATGACACCAGCCACAGAGTCACGTGTTAATGGACCATATCCTCCTATTTCTATTTTGCTGCCAGCACTGGGAAAGATGGAAGATACTATGACCTGCGGCCTGAGTTCCTAATTGTCTGTCTCAAATCCTTGAAGTCCCTTTTGATCACCCTCAGGCTGCGTGTTGCTGCTGCTTCTCCTCCCACATGTAGGACCAACAATGGATAATAGTCAGTGACTCTAACCAGGCTAGGAAGTTGCCGGGTGACATCCTTAGCCCAGGCCCCAGGAAGGCAGCAGACCTCTCTTAGAAGGGGGATCGTGCCTACATATAGGACCCTCTGTGCCCTGAATGGAGGAATCGCCCACAACTCTAACCTGACTTTTCTCCCTCATACCTGTGGTAACAACACAATCTGCTTGTGTTACTATTTTTGGAGGAGAGGGATCCTTGTCTACCCTATCTACTGATTACCCTTCCTCCTCCACGGCCTTGTATCTATTGGCTAGGGGTACCGGATTGGGTAAAATGGGAGAAGGTTTTTTCTTTCCCCTGCGAGCCTGGACTTTTATCCATCCATTGCGGTGCTGCTTTCTTCCTCCCTTAATTAGGTGGGGGATGGAGTCTGTAGTCGCTCGTTGCAGTGCGCTTCTTGGTGCCTGCCCCTGTTTCCCCCTCTGACTTACAGCCTTCTTTTAGCCTTTCAACCTCCTCTTGTAGCTCAACTACCATGCTGAGCAGATCTTCCACCTGCCCACAACTCACACAGCTGCTCTCCCACAGGCAAACTAACTTTAACTATGAAACAGAAAAGGTCAAGTTTAATGCTATTCTACCTTCTTAAAAAATATATACATACTTGGCCAAGAACAGGCTTTTACATTTGCTTTCAATCTGATAGTTTCTCATCATTTTCATGGGCAGGATGTGTATAACGTCACCAGAAACAGGCAAGTGAGAAATGCTTAAGAGATTATAGCAATAATAGCCTTAATCTGGGATGGAAGATCAGTTTACTGGTCAAGTTAAGACACAAGGAGATAAAGCATAAATAAAGTACCAGGAATGGGGAATTTTTGAGTAAGTTACCTACAAGTGCCTAAATAAGAAAGTTTCATATTCTCAGAGACCTGTGCAATGATCTGAACCAGCTAGAAATAAGATAAAGCTTCAAGCACAAAATTATTATTAGAAGATTGTCCCATTCTATCATCTTCAAAACAGGCAAACTTTCTCCAGCGTTTACATCCCTTCAGCTTGCATTGCTTCATTCTCCCTGTTATACTCCCACTAATCAAGTTTTGGGCAAAGTGCTTCCTCCACTCGTCTCCTACACCTCCTTCAGGTGGCTGCTAGGTAGTTTGAGGAAAAGGGAACCTTCTAGTATTCCAAGCAGGTTGCTACCAACCTGTTTTCAGTTCTAGGACAAAACAGTCTCAGGACAAAACAGCAAACAATTAACAAGCAGCAAATATTTTATACAAGCTCAAACATGCTGTTCGAGCAGGAAAGTTTTGAGGACCATGGAAGGAAACCAGGTGGTGCGAGAGCAAAGCAGGACTGGAAGACTCCTGCTGAGCAGCCTGAATCAGCAGGCACCACACGTGGGTGCCTGACATCCTGTGCTAAGAATATACACAAAAAACAGCCAAGAAACCTGTGCCCAAGGCCTGGGTAGTTAATAGGGTTCGGGCTCATTTGCCTAACTGACCTTGATGGAATCAACTAGCTCATAAACTGCAGCCGTAACCTATAATAAGTATTTATATATGTGTATACTATATGCAAACATAATGTACCTGAATAAACTTTTCCACTATGATTTCCAAGTATAAATACTCTCCCTTAATTCTGCTCTCTTTGTGTATCACAAAGAACAAGATTTGATTGCTCCCCCCGCAAGCCCCAGCCTGCACAAATTCTCTATAATAACGATCAAATGTCATTCTGAAGGTTCACAAGAAATGAACTATATAATCAAATGAAACATAGCTTCAATCAAGCAACACTGAACCTATTCCTCCATTAAAGAGGATGAGAAGTCCCTGCACAGAAAAAAATCAGCAAACAAATTGGAAAGTACTATTAGTTAAGACATCGGACAAAAACAGATCAGATTCCTGACTTGCTCTTTTTGTCTTCATGTAAGAACAACTCCTTTGGATATTTCAAGTTCTTTGTGCTTCAGCATAAAATATTGCTTTCTCCTCGCAGTGCAGAATGAATACAGGCAAGTTGGTCAGTGACTATACATTTCAATTAGTGGTGTGTGTGGCCTGTCAATGGTTTGCTTGAACTCACGATCCACGATTGCTTCAGGTTAAGCACAGCTGACGCCTGTTGCACAAACATCCAAACACAGGGTTGTTTTCACTAACTGCACAGCACTTTCATGGTTGCCTTGCTGAATTCTTCACTGCTGCAGAAGGATTTGAGCCTTCAGCTTACAGCAAAGAACAGAACAAGGCAGTTACGAAGATCACGTAACACAGAGCTCTGCAGCCCACAGGGGAGGTTTGCTGCAGTAGGACACTCTGCCAGTGGCCGCCTGAGCACAAGCAGCGGCTCCAGCAGTTGCACCCTCCTCTTCTGCTTCTTCCTCCACCTCCCTGGCACTTTCTGTTCCTTGGAATGGATTCTCCAGAAGTTTCAATACATTTCTTACCTAGAGAGAAAACATAATGTGGTTATAAGAACTTACAAAGTAAAGGCAAAATTATACGGAAACCTTAAACCGAATAATGATTGAGTTTATTCTAGTTAATACACAAATTCCAGAGACAGAATGAGCTAAACATGAAATAAAAGAGCTTTTTTCAGCAAACAAGCTGAAGATTATAAATTCAAACAGTTATTTAAGATTCAGCCTGGAGAAGAGAAGGCTGAGAGGGGATCTAATCAGTGTCTATAAGTACCTCAAGGGAGGCAGTGAGGAGGATGGTGCTGGTCTCTTTTCAGTGGTGGCCACTGACAGAACTAGAGGAAACAGCCAGAAACTGAAGCATCAAAAGTTCCACACGAACTTAAGGAAAAACCTCTTAACAGTGAGGGTGACAGAGCACTGGAACAGGCTGCCCAGAGAGGTTGTGGAGTCTCCTTCTCTGGAGATCTTCAAAACCCGCTTGGACGCAGTCCTGTGCCACGTGCTCTAGGTGACCCTGTGTGGGCAGGGGGGCTGGACTAGATGACCCCTAGATGTCCCTTCCAACCTTAAGCATTCTATGATTCTATGATTCTAATTTTATAATCAAACTTAGGTTCAAATAACTTCAATTGTAAGTCTTAAATACAAATTCTCATGTTGCTCTTCTCAAAATGCATTAATTTTGTCTGCATTCTGCATGCAGTAGCTTGCACAGTGGACTACAGATAAAAGTCATCATTTTATAAGACACCATTTGTCATGAAAATACAAGCAAAATTAATCTCAGTCTGCTGGGACAAATAACAGGAGTAAAGGTGTGAGAAAGGAAAAAATACACCTAGATGTCTTGTCCTGCAAAGATCAGCCCTCAATAGCCAGTGAAGTTCAGGTTTTCAGCTTCCTTTGTTCTGCAGTCACTACACCCACAGCTACCTCAGAATAACACAGACCTTCAGAACAGTACAGCCCCAGTTGCCTTCCTGCCTAAGAGGCCACAGTGAATCTCACCTGTGTTTCAAGCTCCTTTTGCACAATGACAATTTACCAGAAACTCCCCTAGAGAGCCACACAAACCCACAAGTGGCAGGCAGTAGTATTGTACCTCTGAGAAATCCCCATTTTCGGCTGCTTCTATCGCATTCTGAGCAATATAGTTTCTCAAGATGTATTTTGGATTATTTGAATTCATGACTTTCACACGATCAATATTCCAGACATCGGCATTGCCAACATTTTCTACTTCTTTCTGTAAACGGACTCTGAAAATAAGCAAATAAACACATAATTTTGTTTGCTTCAAGAATCACATGTGAAAAATGACCCATTTTCTGAGGATATTAAGAGCTGAAACTAAGGATCTCAATACAGTATTAAACAGCAAGACAGATACTTATCATTGAGTAGATTAGGACCAGCCAAAAGCTTTGGTTTTCATTCTTACACTCATATACTTTTCAAGAGAGAGGGTCCTTTCAATATGACATTGTTCTTAAGTGAAAAGCAGACACATATTCTACTGTGAATATCAATATACTGCCTCACCTGTATTTTTCCAGCCATTCTTTCCAATGTCTTTGATTTCTACTGAGTATATCAGCTGCCGTTAGCTGCTGCAGCTTGGAGAACTGCTCAATGCGCTCTAATTCTTTATTGATATTAGCTTTTGTTCCAATTAATGCAAAAAGCTGAGGGTTGGACTGAGCCAACATTAGCATCATTGACAGTTGTCTGGAAGAAAAAAAAGAGGAAAAACAGCCATGTTAGATATATTAAATAGAAGCAGCCTGCCCATGCCTATCTTTTGTGACCATAAAGTAAACAAATTTACTCACGATAACCTATGATTTCAGTAAAGAGATTAAATACCAGTACTTTATAATTTACAAAACAAATTTGCAATTAATTGTGGTCATTTTATTGTTTCTTTCTGCAGTATGTTCAGTTTGCATTTCTGAGGTGTATAAAGTGCAGATTTTCACACTCAGAGCTACCAGTTTGGTTTAGATGCACAACTCTCAAAACAACTCAGACACCTTGAAAAATCTCCAGCACTTTTATTCAGCATTGATTATGTAGAATTTGAACTTACTTAGATAGCAAAACAATACAGCATCTATTTCTCGGTTTCATACCTTTTCATAAGTTGGGCATTAATACTGTAACAGCACTCAAGATAAAACTCTAATATCCATAACCTTAATTTCTTCCCCTTTCTAATTAGCGCATCATTTATCTCCAGAAAAATAAATGACTGCAAGAGGTCATTTTTGTGCAATATCAAATTTGTATAAACAAATTCCACACAAGAGCAGCCAGAACAAGTCCATCTTCTCAGTTATCTGCTTTACCCAAACTGGAAGTGTGATACCCATAAACAGAGGAGCACTGTAGAAGGTTCATTACACTCACAGAACATTTCCTAAACAGAGAGAGGTAGAAACTCTACTCAAGATAACCCAAGCTCTGTTTTCCCCTTTGGGAAAAGGCTAGAAAGAAATAATAATAATAATAAAAAAATGAGGCATCACATTCACTGCTTTTCACTGCTCCAAAAAATGAAATATATATCTATATATATACATATATATACACACACACACACACACACACACACAGATATATATATATATAAAACTCCAGGCCCCCTATAAATTAGCTGTAGAACAAGATTTACTACTTTTCCATTTTTTCAGCAGCTGGCCTGGACAATCTGGCCCATCAGGAGAAACCTGGATGGCACCAAACAGGATCTGAGTTTAGACTGTACACTGAATTAAACTTAGCTCAGAATATTGGTGGCTGGAAGCAGTTATTAGCTAAATGTGCAATGGCAGATTGCATGGGAGATTTTGTTTAAATCTATCTCCCCATAAAATATTACTGCAGCACCTCACTATTTGGCACTCTCATTGGCTTGGTCAGCAAAGTAGGGAAAAAAAAAGAAAAAAAATGCAAACCAAAGTAATTCAAACCAAACCAAATCCAGCCCAGAGCTGATTTCCGAGAATCCTTCAGACACAAAACACACAAACAAGTTTGAACTGCTGTGTATTAATATACACGTACTCAACAATGCTCTTTCCCAGATTTAAAATCAGTTAAATATTACCAATTTCATTATAATTTGATACAACTAAAATCACTGTCCAAAAGCGTGGAAGCCTATTACATTACTACCTTGGATCCATCTGGGGTTTGAAAGCAACTTTCAGTTCCTCCAAGGAAGCACACTGACTTGCTAGCTTCTCTAAAAACTCTTCCAGTCTTGGAGGATCAAAATCTACTGAGAATGAACTCAGCAAGTAGAAAATATTTGTGAAGTCAGCACCTGAAAAAGTAAATTCCATGAGTAACAGAACTAACTAGCCAGTAAGAAAATAAACCGCAGTCCAAATTCTTTCCTGACATGGGCCAGTCTAGACAGAGAGATGAAAGAAGTAGCAGCAAATTTCTGCCTGTCCCTCACTTTGCGAGAGTGCAGATATGATACAGGGAGAGCCCTGCATCAAGGCACCAACTGCCCTGCAGTTCACAAGCAGTTCACTATCTTGCACACTGACTTGCTTGCTTCTCTAAGAAATCTTCCAGTCTTGGAACCATTACCATTAGATTTTGAAACCATTACATTTTGGTTTGATATTATAATATTTATGGGCTACCAAGCGATAACTTGCTGTGTTCCTCACCCACCTGTGAGATGCATAGTTTCAAGAAGTTCAGACACCAGCTTATTATCTTCTTCTAATTCCAGCTGAATTAATCCTAGCTTCTTCCTCATCTTCTGCAAATAGTGCTTCTCGAATTCTGCATCATATTCCTCTTCCAGGATGAGCTCACTGATTTCCAGAGGCAGCTCTGGAACTAAAGCTTCAGCAAGCTTTCCTAGATTCCACTTGCAAATTTCTGGCTGCTTGTTGTAAGCATAGCGCCCTGTATTATCAGAGCCATTGCAAATGTGTTCAGGGTCATATCTACAAATAAAGAAATAGTTAGCACTGGCACTCATGTAGCTAGGAGAATCTAAGCAAGACTGTCCAGGAGACCAGAACAGACAAAAAGGAGGAGTGCTTCTTGTTACTGGATTATTTCTTCTCCCAAAGCTACCTAGTTAGGTATTTTCCTGCCCTCTTAAACGCTGAGAAAATCCCCATGCTAGAAACAAAGCCTAAGAGTAGAGACTCTGCAGGCAATACAGAGGTACACGGAAAGGTTGAACAGAAGAATATAGGACAACTAGGACTACCTTTATCTACTATAAATAGAGTTCGTAAATCCATTAGAGAATTAAAAATATTAAAGCAATACTGAACAGTGTCAACATTGGTGTACACAGCAAATACATAAGCATATTTCAGCTATGCCACACTGACCTGTCCATAAATCCGAAGGGGCCGTAGTCAATCGTTAGTCCAACTATGCTCATGTTGTCTGTGTTCAGCACACCATGGCAAAAGCCAACGCACTGCCATTCCGCAACCAATCTCGCAGTCCGCTTGGTTATCTAGGAGAGAATTTTTCTTCATTTTTCAAACACAACTTACAGATGTTCTTATATTTCCAACAATCTTCTATTCTGAACTGATCTTTCTACAATTCTGGCGGAAGCAGATTCTGGCTTGTATGTCATGTGCCTAAAAAGCAACGGCTTAAAAGATGTCTCCCTCTATCTTCTTGTTATTAACTGCCCAGTTCCTGTAGCTCCCATTTTGCTCCCTCTTCATGTCTACATTTACCTTGAAAGTCTACTGTCTTGTAGCATTCTCATGCTAGGTACTTCAAATTGGTTTCCTATGTGTTGCTTCCCATTGCAGATGTCAGGAGGCATCCAAGTAGCTGAGTGTGAACAGGACTGATAAATTAGCAAGCAGTAAAGCATTAAGAGGCAAACTCTATGCCATCCAAAGTGCAAAAATATGGAAAAAATGAAGGGAGAGCATGTGTGCCCACCATGCAGAAAGCACACCATGTGCATGAGCTCAAACCTGCATAGCTGATTAGAAACATCTTTGCATCTCACATCAACTTTTGTTCTCTTTAACTGCATTTTTCTACTGCTGCAAATATTACAGTCATACACAGAATAAAGTGTGTTATATATAAACAAAAATACTATTTTAAAAGCCTGCTTTTTTAAATGTAAGAAACAACTACAAAGCACTTGAAAAGCAGAGATAAGGGTGTTTATCTAGTAGACAGTGCTGTCAAGTGCAGTCACTTGTACTCCTCATTGTCTGCTCTGTTTCTTCCACAGTACAGAAAGAAAGATAAAAGCATGTGAGAGTGGAGCTGCCAGAATTTCTCTGCTATTAGAAAAAAAAATAGAAGTGCTAGAAAAAATGGAGGCAGCACAGAGGAGAGCAAACATGAGAAATACAAAGCTGGCTATGACAGGAAGTGAGGAAAGCCCCAGACAGCAAAGGAGGGGAGACAGCGAGCAGGAGGCACAAGGAAGACATGCCAGAAGGGCAGGGATAGGTTGGAAGAAACTGGGCCAGGAGACTAGTGAAGGAAAGCAAAAGCAGCAAGACTTTTGCAAGGACTGGGGTGGGACAAGATGGGAGCTGAGGTTGTCACCCACTGCTGCAAGGCCCTTTGAGGCCCATCATTGCTCTGCCATAGTCTACCTCCTAGTAAAGATGCCACCAGCTGCAGAGCAGCACAAGCCCACAGGAGGTGACAACCTACGATCATCATCACTGCTGGCACGAGAGGTCTGCTCAGTGAAATTAAACCTTTGGCACCAGGGGTGAGCCTTGCAACAGCTGTCTGGTAAAGAACTAAAGCAACCGCACACAATCTGGGTTAAAACACACTTTCAAAAAGCATTTTTTTTACTTTAAAAGCAAGCAAAAAGCAAGTTCTGACTTTATACAGTAATTGATTTCTTAAAATACCATTTTTGATCTTGTTTTCATCTAACCTCACCCCTGGGCCATTACAGAATCACCTAAGACTACCCCATTCCTGGGACATATTTGTCTCTTCTGATCTTACATTCCCAATCTTTGACGTTTTGTTACTTCCTCAGAATTGAAATGTTTAAAGGCAGTCAATCTTAACTCTTAGGTTAACTTTCACTTGGAAAATAAGAGACAGGAATTGACTGAACATTTTCAATGTTTTACCTTACAAACGATAAGGCAACTCATTATCTAGCAGTCAGGGCCAGAATTTCCCTCACATTCTGAAATACTGTGAGCAAACTGAGGGAACAGTCATGGGAAGCTGTCCAAGAGCTGGGAAAACAATTTACTATTAAAGAGGCAAAACTGCTTTCTTTAGTTTCATCAACGAGCAGTTCTACAGAGCGCCTTTTATAAAGAGAATAATTCAAGTAATCAAGAGACTCCAGATACTAAGTGACTCTACTCACCTGTGCTCACAGATGTTCTTCAAGCCTACAGCTACAGATTTATGAAAGAAATTTATCTTACCTACCTCTTTAAAGAAAGCAGCATTTCTCTGAACAGTGTTGTCAGAATAAGCCTCCTGGATTTCCGGGTAGAAAGTGCTGATCACATAATCCAACATTTGTATCCGAATATCATTTCGGTCAACACTAGGACCTTTGCGTCCCGTATGCTCATCCGTTGGTTTAAAAATTTCAAAAGATCCAAACCTGTTTCAAAATAATAAACACGTTTTAATATTATTTGATGCAATTATCTTTTTTGACTTTACAGTAAGATATACATACATATTTGCAATAAAAACATTAAGCACTGTTGCAACAATGTAACAGTCTCTTAAGTGTAATACTCAAGAAAGTATCTGGACTTCTACAGTACTGTATCTTTAGAACAGCTCTAAAACTAATGGTAAAGCTACAACCAAGCAACCAACACTTCCAACTTTAAAAACTTTGCAGTTACAGGCAGAAACATGAAAAGTATCTTCTGACATCTGTAGAGCTTGTACTTTGTATATGTACAAAGTACATATGTATATGTACATATGTATATGTAATAAAAACACTTAGTGTTTATTTCTCTGAATGCAAAAATATTGGCTCACCTCATCTTTTGGATAGAAAGAACTGATTTCTACAGTTTAATAAAGAATTTCCAAGATCTCAGAATACAAAACACACAGATGACACTGGTATGGAAATAAATACATACACAGACACATACATGTGTATGTATATACATGCACACACACATTTCAAAACCTGCTATGCTAGGTTTCAACATGAAAAAAAAAAGATTAAGTAAGTAGTCTTTTTTCTACCTTAAAAATGTTGAAGCTATTCTCAGGACAACTGTACACCTTTCATTTTTTGGATTTCCATCATAAAATATGTCACGAACAACTTTTGAGTCAGATGTCACGCACGTTCCAGCTCTTGTTGTCGGTATTCCCAGGTGAAACATTGCCTCGCTGCACAGGAATTCTCGGATACTTGACCGCAGCACCTTCCGACCATCAGCTTGTCTGTAACAGAAAGCATTGACAGACCCGACTTTCACGCTGCAAAGGAAGGAGTTCCTGTTTCCAATTTAGTGGTGGAGAGGACAAATAATAACAAAAGCGAGACGTGATTTCCACCATCATAAAACAAGTCAGTGGTTGCTCCGAGAACAACAGAAGTTTGAAGATCCAGCTTTCAAAGGTCAGACTAGATGGACAGGACACAATTGCAATGACAACTAAGTCCAAGTAGGTGATGGTTTTAGACTCTTGATGTCTTTAGACTCTTGATGGTTTTAGACTCTGTAGAGTCTTTAAAACACAAACTTTTAAATAGGGCATAAGACACCACTAAAATAATTCAGATAAAAAATTACTTAGTTTTAAAAATCAGTATTGTTTCAATATTTAGTCAGTGCACTGCAGAATTTAAAGTTAACAGTCCAGCTGTCCATAAACAAACCCTTTTTTCTTGCAAAAGCAAGGCAGCAAACAACAACATCTTTTTTAATTTAGGTTTTCTTTATTAATAAATTGGCTTCTATTATGTCTTTCGAAGAAAAAAAAATACTATTTCTTTGGATCTTTCCACATAAGTAAAGTAGAAATGGGACATTAAGTATCGACCTAACCGTCTGGTAAAGAGATGACCGATATACAGTTACTTTATTTAATACAGATTCCTCGGGAAAGCAACGGCCGTTCGAGGCGGTAACGGCCGCTCGGGGGGGCAGTGTCCTCGGGGCGGGAACGGCCGCGCCGGGGCATAAACGCCG